GGGAATATTGGCACAAGTGCCCTCATCCCACCAAATTTAAAGCAGTAATATCCTCAATGCAAAATAAAATAGTACGAGCACGAAAGGAGAGATAAAAGTCCCTCTGACAATCTATGATTGTGGAGTGCTCAAATCTGGAGTGTCAGGAGTGGTAGCATCATCTTAGGCATCAGTGCTTGACAAAATGATCACAAGAGGTAGCATAATAGTCTCAACCAGGGCATCAATTCTCGACACATCAATGGGAGGAATGGTGGAGTCTAAAGAGACCCCATTGGTTCCAAATGTGCAAGTCTCCTCAAGAGATCTCTCTGTCGTCGCCATCTATATAGTATGCTCCAAATTGGGTTGCTCTATCAAGGTCATGATCGTCTGTTCCTCATTATGCACTCTTTGTATCTCCTCCTCGTCCATCTCCTCAGCTGACTCAGTATCACTATCATCTTAACTCTCTCCTCCTCATCATCATCAGCAACTGCACTATCATCAACAGTGGCACCACCCACACTCGGTTGTTCAACTAAACTAGGAGAAATCTCAACCTAGGCACATAAGAGGGCACTGACTAGGGCGCATCAGTCAAGAGAACCTCATCTGAAAGTATAGAAATGTCTATAGATCTGTATACCTGAGCTAGTCTATATCAACCCTAAGCGTGTCTATTAGAGCCCTCATAGTAGTCAAAATATCTTAGCTACCCTCACTTTCCTCTCAGACATTTATCCTAGATGTGAGGTTATCCAAGCTCATGTCATGTGACACTACTGTGGCCTCACACTACATTAACGTATCTCTTAAAGGAGCCAATGCATCTTCAATCGCCCAATCAATGAACTTGGGCATATCATTCTCTATCCTAGCAGCCCTCACATCCGGAGACCGGGCACGATTGCCTATTTGGTAGATCATGGCCTTGGTCAAGAGGGGTTGGGAGACAGGGGTAGGGGCAGGTGCAACAGCACACAAGATGGCATGGAGGTACCTGATGGCTCCACAAAAGGAGCAGATAGAGTGGCCTCATCCTCAAGAGTGGCAGGATCAACTATGGGTGTAGTGTATGGTGGTGGCAACTTTCTCCTAGCCGCATCATCTCACAAGTAATATGTATCTATCCTCCGGATGTCATTGGAAGATTCAAGGGTGATCCTCACATCAATCTTCCCCTAAAAAGGAAATCCCGCCTCCTCGCACAACTAGGTGATCAGGATGAAGAATGTTAGAGAATTTTGCTCATGTTGAGCCCTCATTAATATCTCATCAGCAATAATTGACCCTATATTGATCTTCTCTCAATCAATAATTTTACCCACCAACACAACCTTGGGGTTATGGATAATATATTCATTCTAGGAAGGGATTATGTTGCTACTTATGAATTCAAACCAGTACCGAGCTCCAATATTCGTATCTTTCTTTTTAATTTTCACCTCGTCAGCCATCCATGGAGGGGAGGGTATCAAAAATAAGTTGTGCCAACCAACCTTTCAAAGTATAAAGATCATGATGCATCTGCATCGTAAACGTGACATTATGATATTCATTTGTTCCCAAAGCAGTATTATTTCGTCAGCATGACATTGTACCATCTTGCCACTAACATCAATCGTATCTAGGGGCTTTCAAACTGTACCATTTCTCTTCTTTGGCAAGGCCTTGGCGTAGACCATATAAAATTCTCATACCCATGCTGGAACATAAAGGAGTCAAGGTTTTATGAACATCTTGAATCCATGAAATTTAATAGTATCCCAGATGGTTGGATAGTCGCTCAGTACTTCATCCATGGAGAGTCGTCTCTCTTAAGGATTGTACTTTCTCCAGCTACCTTGGGCCTGAGGAGGCTGGACTAATTTGGACCAGATGTCCATTCTTTTTTTTAGAAACCACCTTCTAGTGCTACCCACTCACACACGTAGATGAGCGCAGAGTGGTTTGTTGGCGTCAAGGAGCCTCAGATGGCTTGTTAATAGAAATCCCCTTATTTCTCTTTAGAGGAGAAGGAGGAGACTCATTCTCAAACTATGTGTCAGATGTTATTACCCTTTTTCATTTAATTCTAGCCATTTTATGTAAGGCACAATCATTCAAACATAGATTTAGTGAAGGTTAGTTGAAATCAAATGCAAAAGAAACACATTTGAAGACTAGGTTCTGAGGCTCGACGACTCCGAAGGCAATTTTCCTAACAGGGTTGGCAAGATGTGATGAGCTCACCGAAGTTGATAGACCAAAATTATATTTAACTCAGGCATGAAGGGTAGAGTCATCTCCAACTCGATGATGTGCCGAATTTGTTTCGGTGGACTACGACAAGTCCCCCAAAAGAAACAGTGCAAAATCAAAAAAGGCATAAAGGGCAATGTTTGTTCCCACTTGGCGATACGCCAAGTGAGATTCAACAAACTAAGACAAGCTTGTTGAATTGAACAATACCCTAAGTCACATATCAAAGCATAGAAGGCGGTCTGGGGATAATTTGTAAATTTGCCTAGTTACCTTGGCGAGCTAATACATGCCCGTCGAATAGGTAATTTTCAGCCCAGTGCCAATTTGCAACATTTTCAATACCAATACGCAACGATACCAAATTCTCAATTAATTTTACAAGCTACCCACAAGCTTTTCTACATATGGGTACTTATACTTACCCCAAATATCACAAAGTATTACAAATGATGATTTTCCCTTAAGAAAGTCGTCACTTTATCTATCATTGGACAAAATAATGCTAATGGGGAAACACTGAGTTAATAGGACTTCACCCTCACTCAATTCAACCAAGACCAGGTACACACAAGGGTTCAACTTAATATATTAACCAACACACTCAATTTTAGAAATTTTAGGCACAAAATCAACTATCTTAACTCATGGGTCCAGTTCAATATCACTCATTTAGCATTACCCATGCAAATTAAACAACAATATTCTTTAAAGGGCAATAATCCTATATCAAAAACATTCATTTCAAGAAAAATAACAATATAGAACTCAAACACCAACCTCAAAGATAGTAGTGAATCACAAACTCAAGGGAAGAGGGTTGGGATCAAGAATCGAGCAGTCCAAAGAACTTTAAGCAAGTAGTATCATGCAAACGAGGCACACAAATACCAAAACGAGGGTATGGGAGGTTTAGGAAAGAAGAGAACTCAAAAGAAAGAAAAGATTTCTCTTAGAACTTGAAGAGAGTCTTGACCTATTTAACTCTACTCGACGACGGTGACTAACGTCGCCGAACGTCGCCGAACGCATTTGAGCGAATCACCAAAGGATCTAAAGCATACCGATGACGCCCGAACAAATACCCAACATGAAAGCCGATTCAGCGAACTCAATTGTGTCTGCTTAGTGTACTTTGGTGAATCGCTAATTGGAGCTCAGATCACCTAAGTTGACAGTACATTTTTTTCAAATTTTCCTGCTTAGAAGGCGGACATGAAGATTCTCGCACAACACATTTGGTAGATCGCCGACCTGGTCTTCGCATTTCCTAAATAGCATTTCCCCACATTTTGACCTTTTTTCCAACTGCACTCATAACACAGTATTGAAAGCAATAAAACAAAGTGATCTCCTTCTATATATGCAACTTATCTCTGTTACGCAACCTATATTAGTTCCTCCTTATCATATGGCCCCGACAGAACTTAAGGAGTTAAAGGATCAGTTGAAAGATTTGTTGGGTAAGGATTTTATTAGACCATGTATCTCTCTATGGAGTGCTCCAATATTGTTTGTTCGAAAGAAGGGTGATGCACTCAAAATATGCCTTGATTATCAGCAATTGAACAAGGTTATCATTAAGAATAAGTATCTTATTCCAAGGATCGATGATTTGTTTGAAAAACTCCAAGGAGCGAGTTACTTCTCCAAGAATGACCTCTGGTCAAGTTATCACCAATTGAGGTTAAAAGAGAATGACATTCCGAGGATGGCTTTTCGAACTCGGTATGGTCATTATGATTTTTTGCTGATGTCATTTGGTTTGTCTAATGCCCCGGCGGTGTTTATGTATTTGATGAACATCGTATTTAAGCAATATCTTGACATGTTTATAATTATGTTTATTGATGATATATTTATTTATTCATGGAGTGAGGATGATCATATTGATCATTTAAGTATTGTGTTGCAAATTCTAAAGGATCGAGAATCGTATACTAAGTTTAGCAAGTGTGAGTTTTAGTTGAGGTTCATTTCTTTCCTTGGCCATATTGTCTTTGGTGAATCTATTCAAGTCGATCCTAAGAAAACCAAGATGGTTAAATTTTGCCTAGACCTTTGTCCGCTTCAGATATACGGAGTTTCTTAAGTTTACCAGATATTATAGAAGGTTTGTGGAAGGATTTTCATCAATTGCTTCACCTTTGATGAAATCGACTCAAAATAAAGTGACATTCCTATAGTCAAAAGTTTGTGAGAAGAGTCTTTAAGAGATGAAGGATAGACTCATTTCGGTCCTTATTTTGACATTACCGAAAGGACCGGATGGTTTTGTGGTTTATTGTGATGCTTTGTGGATTGGTCTCAGATGTGTTTTAATGCAACATGGAAAGGTTATTGTTTATGCTATAATGCAGTTGAAAGTGCATGAAAAGGATTATTTGACTCATGATTTGGAGTTAGCAGCGGTGGTGTTTGCTCTAATGATTTGGAGACACTACTTGTATGGTGTTCATGTAGATGTGTTCACCGACCAAAAGAATTTGACGTATGTGTTCACTCAAAAGGATTTGAATCTTCATCAAAGGAGGTAGCTTGAGTTATTAAAATATTATGACATGAGTGTCCTATATCATCTCAGAAAGGCGAATGTAGTGGCGGATGCTCTTAGTAAGTTATCATTCTAGCATTGGGATGGCACTGTTTGAGGCTCTTTATGGTAGGAGGTGTGGGTATTTTATAGGTTTGTTTGAAGTTGGTGAGGTTCTTTTATAGGGCTTGAGTTGGTGCATGAGGTTTTGAAAAAAGTTTGACTTATCTGCGAAAGGTTGAAAATGGCTCAAAGTCGACAAAAGTCTTATTCTAATATTAGAAAAAGAGAACTAGAATTCAACGTTGATGATTGGGTCTACTTGAAAATTTCACCCATGAAGAGTGTCAGGAGGTTTAAGAAGAAAGGAAAGCTTAGTGGCCATATCAGTTTTTTGATACATATTGGTAAGGTTTCTTACAAACTTGAATTGCCTAATGATTCAGCATCTGTACATCCAGTATTCCATGTTTCTTTATTGAAGAAGTATGTTAGAGATCCAACATCTACTATTCCTTTGGATTGTTTGAGAGTCAAAGAGAATATTTCTTATGAAGAAGTTCTGGTAGAGATTTTAGATCGGAAAGTTCGAAAGTTGAGGAATAAGGAAATAGCTTCCGTAAAGTTTCTTTGAAGGAATCAATTAGTTGAGGGTGCTACTTGGAAATTCGAAGTCGATATGATCTCCCAGTATCCTCATCTCTTTACCTCCACTCCTATTCTAGCTTGAGATATTAGTTCCTCATGGTTCATTCTTTTGGATTCATGTGTTTTAGTTATTCCCATGTTTCCATATGCATACATGTTCATGAAAACTTGATTTTGATGAAATGATTTAGCTTGGAGATTCTCCATGTTTATGTGCATTTTCACAAAAACTGCATTTATGTTGCCTTGTTAGTGTCTCTTCTATTCTATTCATACTAGCTTGAGTCTCATTCGAGGACAAATTTTCCCGAGGGGGAGATATGTAACACCTTGGAATTTGGAAAAGGGAAGATTTTACCATTTTTAGCTACTAATTGTGTTGTACAGATCCATTCTACGGGTCGTAGATGCTTCCACAGACCATAGAGTGCATCCGTAGGAAGTGGGCCGAGTTTTGGAAAAAAATCAAGTCCCAGTAATTCATTCCACGATTTACCAGGACGGTCCATCAAATGGACTATGGACCATAGGGAGGTCCTATAGAAAGGGTTCAGACTTGGTGAAATTTATTTTGTTAAAGTTGAGTTCTACAGTTTAGGTCTACGGGCCATAGAATGGTCTCGTCAAAAGTTGGCTAAATTTAAGGTTCCAGTATTTTGGAATACGGTTGACTAGTACGGTACATAGAAAGTCATATAGACCATAGGTTGGTTCGGTAGATTGGGTCCGGCAGTTGTTTTAAAAGGGTATTAGGGTCTTTTCCTATGTGCTTAAGGCCTAAGCTATGTAGTTTCGACACTAAGTCCTAGCCCTATATAAGGTTTCTAAATCCAAAACTACCCATTATAAATTCATTCCCCTAATTCCCAAATCCCAACCAAGTTCATCTCTCCCAATTCTCATCAAGGCTCTTACGGGATTCAAGGGTTCGTCAAGATAGAGTCTTCTTTATTCATCAATTTCTTAGGGCTTCAAGATCAAGGTATGTAGGGTTTCATCAATGTATTCCATTCACCCATTGAGCCCCAAGGTTTCTCCAACTCTCCAATTCAATTTCAATCAAATTGATTAGCTTTTTTTTTTAATTCTTCATGGGTTCTATTTATGTGGATTCAATTGCTTGAATTTTATTTTATTAAGAAGTTTTAACTCAACTACATGTGTTACAATTGAAATCACATGAACCCATACATTGATCATGATTTTTGACTATGAACCCTAATTTGCATGAATTTGAAGAAATGCCATGAACATATGAATCATGCTTTTTTGGAATTATGCATGCTTTATAAAAAAAGGTTTTATGATCTAGGTTGTATTTTAATGAGCATTAATGAAATTGTGAAAGGTTTTCTCAAGTACACCCTATACGTGACATGGAAAAAGGGACCCCGAAAGGCTCTATACAAGCCACTTTACATAAGCATGACATAAAAGAAATACAATAAATGAGATTATAAGAAATATCAGTGTCAATTCATAAGATGACATAAAAGATGCCAACATAGTATACAGGAGAATATGTGCAACATTAACTATGTCTGACATAAGTCTTCTACTTATAGATGTGACTAGGACAAACCCCTTAGTCACGAACATAAATCTGAAACTGAAAGACTAAGAAACAGTAAAGTGGCAATAGCCTAGCCCTTGAACTATGTGGACTCACCAATCTAAGTAATCCAAAAGTTGAGCAATCTCGATCTAGCCACGTGCGGAAAAAGAAGCATCGGATCCTATATTTGAAACAATATATCGAAAATATGCATTAGTACTTTAAATGTATTAAGTATGTGAAAATGCAAAAAAACGTAGGCATGATAATATGATGAACTTAAACATGATATGCATGACCAAGTAAACATAGTAAAAGCCTTTAAAGAGAAATTGTAAATTATAACAAGGTCAATGTATATTGACTACCATATAAAAAGATTTGAAAAGACTTTTGTAGAAAACATAGTTCATTTGTGGGATATTTACCGTTAACTGAAAATAAGATCATGTGGGCTATAACATGGAATCCAGTGTAACCCTCACACCGAAAATAGAGAGTCTAATTGCCAAGGTAGGACTATGTATCATTCATTATTGCTAAAGTGGATCCCCTAGCTAGGTCATTTAAGACAATCCTGCGGGGGCACGTAGTTTGGGACAAGGGAATTGATTTCAAATACCAAATTTCATCAAATGGTAAGGCCACCATTCCAAAGTCATCTCAGTGCTAAGTAAGTCCCAAGGGAAAATACATACTCATAATCATATCAAAAATACTTGGAAAGGCAATAATTAAAGACTACCAATCCAATCATAAGTTCATATTTAGAGTAGCTCCTTTCAAACATGAATTCATATTAAGACACTTACCTTCCTTAGAATCTAAATTATGATTCCATTGAAATGTGAGAAAACCTTTCACAAATCATTGACACTTTATCTTAAAAGTATCCTTTAGTCATAAATCAGTGTTTTCATCAAACATGCATAAGTTCATAACCATAATTAATGAATTCATAACCATAGTAAAATCAATAAGGCATGAGCTCATATGAAATTAATTGGAAAACAAGTAATGAATCAAATCATGTATAATAACATTGAATATAAGAAATGAAATCATAATGAATTGAACCCATGAAGATTTGACATAAAACCCTAGAAATTGGGTGAAAATTAATTGGAGAATTGAGTATCTTTTGGTACCCAATGGATGAAATGAATCCATTGGTGAAGTTCCCACATACCTTGGGTAATCAAAACCCAAAAATCAAAGAAAGAAACATTGAAGCTCTTAAAACCCTAGCCTTACAACTTTGAGCTTGAGAGAGTATTAGAGAAGAAACCCTTGATAGAATTTGTGTGTTTGAGTGAATGAGAGGGAATGGGTATTGTTTTGAAGGGTAAAAACAGTTATAGGGGTAGTAATGGGATCAAAATGACATAGTTTAAGGTTCAAATGGATAGGAAAAGACCAAAACACCCTTAATTAGAAACTATCGAACAGCTTCTACGGGTGGGGTCAACAGATCGTAGGGATTCCTACATACCATCCTGCTAAATCGTAGAACACTTACTAGAAGCCAATTATCTAAACAACTTCCAAAAACCACTTCATAGGTTGTCATCTTTTCTACGGCTTGTAGACATCACCCTTTGAACCCAATGTACCAAAGATCCTCCAAGTCCAACACTTCCCACAATTTTCCTTCTACAGTCTGTAACATTTTCTATGGCGTATAAAAGATCTGTAAGACCTGAGGTCTCAAAAATCACTAAGTTAAAATCATTTCTACGGGTGCTTCCTATGGCTTATTGAAAATCTTACAACTTATCTTGTCAAGGCATAGGCCAGCATCTAAGACTTGACATTTTCCAAAATCCCTCCTTGTTCTTACAGTTCACTTTTACGGACTGTAGACTTATACATAGAAACCAGCACCAGACTACCTTTATACACCTTTTCAACCCAAACTCAACTTCAAATTTCTGAGGTGTTACAATATCGCTTGAGAACATTCATCCTCTAATAGGACTTAAAATAGCATGAATAGAATAGGGAGAGAGATCTAGCAGCCCAACATGAATGCAAATCACGTGAAAATTTACATAAACAAGGAGAAAGCACTCCAAGCTAAATCATAACTCAAAAAATAAGTTTTTATGAGCATGCATGCATATGGAATATAAGAATAACTAAAATGCATGAATTCAAAAAAGTGTACAATGAGGAACTAAATACCTCAACTAGAATAGGAGCGGAGGGAAAGAGATGAAGATTCTTGGACATCATATCGGCTTCGACCTCCTAAGTAGCACCCTCAACTAATTGATTCCTCCAAAGAACTCTCATGGAAATAACTTCTTTGTTTGTCAATTTCTAAACTTGATGATCCAAAATCTCAACTAGAACCTCTTCATACAAAAGACTTCCCTTAGCTCCCAAACATTCCAATGGCTCAATAGACGTAGGATCACCAACACAGTTCTTCCACAACGAAATATGAAATGCCTGACGCATCGATGCCAAATTGGAAAGCAGATCAACTCGTATGCTACCTTACCAATACACCTCAAAATCTTATATGGCTCACATACCAGGGAATAAGCTTCCCTATCTTTCCTAACATCATCACATCCTTCATAGATAAGATTTTCAAGTAAACCCAATCATCAACATTGAATTCAAGTTGTCTTTTTCTAACATCTACATAAGACTTTTGTCAACTTTGAGTCGTTTCCAACCTTTCTCTAATGAGTCAACCTTCTCCATAGCTTTATGCAGCAACTCGGGCCATATCAAAGTAGCCTAACCAACTTTAAATTAACCAATAGAAGACCTACACCTCCTACCATAGAGAGCCTCAAATGGAGTCATACGAATATTGTAATGATAACTATTATTATAATCAAACTAAATCAAAGGAAAATGATCATCCCAGTTACCTTTCAATTCAATCACACAATCTCTCAACATATTTTCTAATGTCTGAATAGTACGCTCACCTTTTCCATCGGTCTGAGGATGAAAGGTCATGTTAAGTTTTACTTGGGTACCAAGGCCTTTATGGAAGGACCTCCAAAATTGTGAAGTAAACTAGGTAACTCGGTCAGATATAATAGATAGTGGCACTCCATGCAACCTAACCATTTTTTGGATATACAAATTAGCATAATTTTCCATCTAGTAAGAAGTCTTCACGAGAATGAATGAGATGACTTTGTCATACGATCCCCAATGACCCAAATTAAATCGTGCTACCGTCGGGTGCGAGGTAAATCGGTAATGAAATCCTTATTCAAGTCTTCCCACTTTCAAGTAAGAATGTTAATATCTTGAGATAAACCTCTTGGTTTCTGATTTTCTACTTTCACTTGTTGGCAATTTTGACACTTAGGCACAAATTCTACAATATCCTTTTTCATCTCATTCCACTAATAGACCTCCCGCAAGTTAGGGTACATCTTGGTGGCTCCTGGGTGAATAGA